GAACCTACATATTTAATCGTGGACTTGTGTTTTCCTTTGCGTCAGATGCTAGAAATGTTATGGGGTGCTTGAGCTCTTGTGTCCGATTATAATTCCCTTTTACTCGATAGGAAGGGAGTTAATTTAGTATGCATGCAATTAAAGAGAAAGATGGTTCAAAATAATTTTATTTTCGAGTATAATTAAGAAAGATATTATTGTGTTAAAAATTTTGGTTTGCATTTCTTTCGTATTCGGATGATATGAAAGAAAATTTATTCAATGATTTCATGATTAGTAATTATTGTGTTAAAATACTTAAATAGGGTTGTCAATGAAAGTGATGAAGATCTTATTGAATCATTTTATTAAACGAAGATGTTGTTGATTTGATGAAGTCAAAATGAAGTCAAGGCTATTATGTTGATGTCAAAGGTTAGTTGGTTAAAAGGGTAGAGTGATTAGTGAGTTTGCATCTATACATAGGTATAATCATTCATATCTCTCTGTTGCATGAGGTTTCATCATTTAAAAGATTTTGTAAAATGCCTCTAAACATGTTTAATCTGTTAAAAACCAAAGTAATCGGTTAAATGGTTTTTAAGTAATTGTTTTAACTGATATTATATGATTTTTATTAGTTAAAATGTTCTTAACACTTACATAACAGGTTTTTAACTTATAGGTTTTCGAAATAATCGATTAAAACCTTTTAAAACATACACTGAAACTGTTTTAATTGATATATCTTCGAATTAATCGATTGTTTTCATTAAAGGAGTTTTTGAAAACCTTCTGTTAGTATTTTAACCGATGTAGATTTGAAATAATCGATTAAAATAACTTAGAATATTTTGAAAAATGTTCTGGCAGTATTTTAATCGATACAAACTCGAAATAATCGATTAAAATAACTTGAAGTATTTGAAAATATGTTATGCCAGTATTTTAATCGATGTAAATGCGAATTAATCGATTAAAACCACTTGAAAGTTTTTGAAAGAAGTTCTGTCAGGATTTTAATCGATGTGTTATCAGTTAAAATGACTTAGAAAGTTTTATGAAACTATTTGGCAGGATTTTAATCGATTAAAATGCAAACTAATCGATTAAAACAACTAAGATTTTTTCCAAAGTGTTTTAATCGATTAAAACATATTGTTATCGGTTAAAATCACTTAGAAAGTTTTATGAAAACATTTGGCGAGTATTTTAATCGATTAAAGGTGAATTAATCGATTAAAACAACTTAAGGGATTTTTTACAAAGTGTTTTAATCGATTGAAACGATGTCGCATCAGTTAAAACAAATTTGGAAAATGATCAAGAACATTTTAACATATTAAAAGAAGTTTTAACAGATTAAATCATGACTTTTAACAGATTAAAAGATTGTTTTAACAGATTAATTAAACTAGCAGTTTGAACAATCTTCTATATAAATAGGATTGCTTGAGTCTTTTAAAATATACCTTTGAGCAATCAATCAAGCAATCATAAGAGTTACTTTCAAGAAAGAATCACGCAAGTTTTGTGAAGTTTTTCAAAGTTCTTTCTTGAGGCATTTTCTGCATTTCTTTTATGAAGAAACTCATTCTGCAGAGCAGCATAATCCGGGTTTGAGTGTTCTAGTTTCTTCTTTTTGTTTCTTTTACATTTCATTACTATATTGTGAGTGTCTAGAAGTGTGGGCACTGGTTTCTATGGCTGAAATTTGGCTGCAAGGTGGTTCAAGAACTGGAAGTTGGTTCTTGGTGAAGGTTTAGGTGCAAGGACTGAAATTTTGGTTCTTGAGGTAAATTGGGTGTGTGATTGGAGTTGTAATCTGTAAAACATTCAATCTAGTGGAACTCAACTGAAATTTGTCTGAGAATTGGACGTAGCCCTGGGATTGGGTGAACCAGTATAAATCTTGGTTATATCTCTCTAAACTTTTCTCTCTTTAATTCTGCTATTGTCTTTATTTTGATTGTTTGATTCAAGAATTGGTCAAAACTCTTAATCTTTGAAATAGATAATCTGTAATTTACGAAAATCTTTCAAAGATCAATTCACCCCCCCCTCCTGATCTCAGCCTCCTTTTCTAACAGTCAAGCCTGATGTCATGATGCACATAGGAGGATCAAGAAGCTTTGAACAACACTTGAAAAAAAATGGTATTCATACTTTACACATTTAATACATTTGATAATATAATTGTTAGTCAATATTGATTACTATTTATAAATTGAATATTAGGTTTGATGTTGGTATGAGATAGTTTTTATGAGATATTTACAAATTGAATATTAGATTTGATCATATAAATTGAATATTCTCACTGAAGAAATCACTACCTTAGCTACACAGATATCTAATTTGCAAGAGCGAGATGAAAACACGAGTTGTAGGCACAAATTGATATGCAAGTATTGATGCAAGCACAAATGAAGATACAAACGAAATGCAAATACTCATGCAACAAGAAATCCAAGAAGAAATGCAATCTTTTAAAAAAAATTATTATCTCGCCTTAAAGAAACAAGGATGAAAATGTACTTTAAAGAATCAAGACTTTGTTTCTATTTTTTATTGTGTTGATATAAAAAATTTTAGTTGATACATAATATTTTAGTTGAAATATTATTTTTGTTATGTTTTAATTGTTTGAAACATCATTTTGACTATGTTTAAACAATACTTTTATATTGAAAATTGATAAGTTTGTCTTCTTTTTTTCAAGAATATGAGTAATAATTTAAATGTTAAACATTTGATATTATAATATTATGATGATACTTTAGCGAGGAATATCTACTACGCCAATAATAATAATTAGTAAATTACTTGCAAATAAAATTGAAAGAGATTAGCTACGGATTAACGAGAGAATAATTTTGATATATAGTTGTGAGGGATTAGCTACAAAATAGCGAGAGAAACATTACGAAGGATTTGTGAGGAAATAATTGCGAGGAATTAACTCTGAATCAGCTATAGATAAATTGTCAAGGATTAGTTACATATTAGTGATAGAAAAATTGTGACGGATTAGCTACGAATTAGCGAAAGCGAAATTGTAAGAGATTAACTACGGATTAGTTACAAGTTAACTAGAAATTTAAGAGATAAATTAGCTAGAGAAAGATAAAATTTCATCACTTAAATTAGCGAGGGACTTAGCAAAATATTGGCGACAAAATTTGCTACAAATTTGAGAGAGAATACATCTCTATCTAATTAGCTACTTGGATTTAGCTATGAAATATTTCATAGCTAATCTAGCACAAAACAAAATATTAACTATAAAATAATCAAATAATGTGTCTAAGCTAATATGTAAAATTCTTGTAGTAATATCTAACCTTTTATAATTATGATAATAATGTCTTTAGATATTTTTCTTTATCACTTTCTAATTATTTAGTAATGATTATAATCTCTTAAAATATCTATCATTTTTATAATTATGATGATAATGTATCTGGACATAGGACTACATAACATGATAAAAAAACATATCTCAATTATATATTTAAAAGTATATTCATGATATATTATAATAATTAATAATTATCTACTTTTATTTATATATATATATATATATAATAAAAAAGTATTGCCGTTTAATTGAAATCACAATAATAAGTTCGTTATATTCATTTAATTAATAAAATTTTCTAATAAACTAACTAATTAATTAGTTTAATAACACTAATATAAAAATTAATTTTTAATTAAAAAATATTGAAACAAATATTTTTAATATAAAAAAATATAAACATCATATTCAAACATGAAATCTCTTTCTTAATAATATTTTATTGTGATATTATTGATACACTCGTGACTTAGTTACGATATAAACCTTTAACAAAACATTTATACGCAGATAGAGAGAGGAGAACCCTTTTCTATTTTTATCATTATTTTATCTTTTTTATATGTAATTGTTAAACTGTAATGTAATTTTTGTTATGAGTGAATGGGTTAGACTCATCACTTTCTGATAATTTTAAGTTTTTGGCTATTATTGTTGCAAAAATAATATGTGGATGTATATGATTCAATCAAATTTAATAAAAAAATAGTTAATATAAATACTAATTTTTATTGCAACCTTATGAAAAAAATTAAAAAAAAAACTTTTAACATATGTACAGTTGTTTAATTTTAGGGTTTAACCGACTCTATCGTAACAGTGCATTCAGGCTGGAAAACAGCAGCATCACCACCACGATAACAAGCTTCTGTTCCACCGTTATAAAGCCGAAAACAATCTTTTCCATTTTTCCACCTCAAATTCAACTTTTTAAATTAGATAAGCAAATGAATGCTCATATTTTATTTAAACTCAAAATCGTATTTCACTTAAATTTAAATACAGTAGAAAAAAATAAATCGTAATAAAATAAAATTCAACTTTTGCGTTACCATACTGTACGGGTATGCCAGGAATGAAAAACATTCAATTTTTGAGGAGCAATGAATGTACTTAATTTGATTTATTTTTTTTAAAATCCATTATCTCTTACCCAGCACAAAATGCATGAAGATACAATATATTGACAAAATAATAGATATTTATTTTATAAATTTAAAAATAAAATACTTTAATCAAAAATCATAATAAATAATTAAAAATATAATATTAAAATAATAAATTAAATTTATTATTTTATTTTTTTCTATTGTCACTCATTTCCAGTCTTTCCCTTAATTTAAAAACCTGTCTTTTCCATTATCTTGTTTTATCCACTCCAATCTAAACAATGGCTAATAAAAGAATGCAATTTTTAAAAGTAAATTAAAACAAATATTAATAAAATCAATCATAAATCCTAAAGAAGTCAATCTGAAATCATCATTAAATTTACAAATAATAACTAAACCCTTGGGCAATAAAATCAACCATTCTACACTTTATTTTGAGTCTGAGTCGAGTCTTTTTTTACTTGAACTTGGTCATGCAGTATGCTCTGATTCACATCACAAACATTGAGTATACATGGTTGTAGAGTTTTGATGTACAAACGATGTGATCAGTAGGCTGTAGCTTTGCCATTCTGACGCTGTGACTGAGTCTGGGTCTGCTCCTGGGAATGGCTGTTATGCAGTTGAACATGTCTATGCTGGTTAGGGTGCTGCTGGTGCTGCATCGGGAACATTTGTTGGCCGATAGCAAGCTGTTGAGCCATGCGACTCGAGAGGAGGGACTCCCCGCCAAGTTCTGCAACCGTGCGTCTTAAACGCCGAACTTCAGCATCCAAGGTCTCATTCAGAGCTGCCAAAATAAGCACACAGATGACTGTTTATTGCACAGCTGAAGTATTCATTCAAGGCAATATAGTGCATACATATTTCTGAATTATCTTGGAGATAAAAGTTTACAGTGTATAGCTGCATAATCATAAACATCTAGTAAAGAAATCACAGCTGATGGAGGTATTAAGCATGAAGACAACCGAAGTTGTGGTAATAATCATGGTTACTGCAGTTTCTGACTATTTTCCATTAAGTATCAAAACATCAACTATAAAGCTTTGTAGTATTTGGTATATACAACAAAAAGAACATTTGAACCTTGCCCATCTGAGTTCCCTTCCTTCTCTTCCGATACTCACTTTCTATCTTTTTTCTTTCTATTTGGAATTAAGAGTGTTTAAGTGACACCAATATGTGGACAAAACTACCCTATTTTTTACAAATCCAGATTTAAAGAGGCCGTGACAATCAAACAATAACTTCAGCAAACGTGGTACAAGTGCAAAAAATGTACTTTAAAAACACTAGTCAAGATGCAATTAAATTCTAGACAGACAGGTAGATTTCAAAGGTGCAGTTGTGCAGATACCTTGAACATAATTGGATAGTAAATCACTCAAGTTTTAGTTAATTAACATGTTGAGAACCAGCACAAGTTTGAATAATTTATCTATACACATTCAAAAATTGTCATATATTAAACCTTGTTATCACACAAAATCCGTTTACTAGATGAAAAGCAGGCAACCTGAACCTCATCATATATATAAGTGATTTCTTACATAAACAACAAACTCCACACTTTACAGGTCGAATGAGCTAAAGCAGATTTGAGCTAATACATTAAGTAGAAGAAAAATGTATGTCCATACCATCTTTCAGTTGGGACTGCTGTTCCAAGGCTTGAATCCTCAATTTGTACTCATTATTCTCACTTTTAAGCTCTGAATTATCCATCTGCAGACAATACAACAAAAGAAAAGGGAGAAAAAGAATAAAGGAATTATGGAAGGAAACATTTTAGTCATCACAGTAAATTATAGATGACAAATTGAAGAAAATGAAATACCGGCCCAACTCAGAAGGCTCGCACCTGTAATTTGGTAAACTGAGTAGACAATGTTGTTGTCTCTGTCTGAAGCGTTTGGACTTTCAGCTCCAATTCAGAAATGTACCGCATCTTCCGCTCTTTTGAGCGAGCAGCAGATAGGCGATTAGCCAAAATCCTGGACAAATATTTTACAGCCTTAGGTTTTTTCCACCAAAAGAAAAAATAACACTAAGACAGTCAAGGAGAAGACTGTTACTACCTTTTTGCACGTTTAGGATCAGCCATGGCAATTTCAGCAAGTTTATCATTCTCCTTTATTTTCTTTAGCTCCTCTGAGCTGAATTCACCATTTCCAAACTCCATGCTTGTATCAGATGTCTTACCATCAATTGAATTGCTAGGGGAGTGTTGACCAACTCGGTTTTGCAAAGGAGGAAGCTTAGGTGATTCATCTCCAATATTAAAATTTCCAATGGAGCTGTCCAATGAGAAACTTCTCCTGTGTCGGGAACCAGGTGCAATGTCTCCATTAGAACTCCTCTTCACTCCTTCCCTCCTCTCCTCGGAACAGCTTGAACTAGCCCCTTGACCACCAGTTGTTTTCCCATTTGCATGACTCTCAACTTCATTATCACTGCTTTCAACAGTCTTGGAACCACTGGTTCTGCTATCCAAATCCTTATCTTCCATACCAGAAAAATTCAGACCATCAATGTTGTCCAAATTCATATATGCACTAAATAAATCGTCCAGTGCATCATCCTCTTTCCTTCCAATCATAGGTTCCCCACCAAAACCATCAGCACGGTCCACATCCTTAATCGGTTCCTTTAACACTAACTGAATCGGTTTCTCATAACCTGAGTTCCCTCCCCTAGAAGCCGAACCATCTCGATCACTCCAAGTCCTGGAGGGAATCAACTGAGGGGCAGACTGAATATAATCAGAGATTCCTAAGGGGGAATCACTGCTGGATCGCCTGTGTCCTTTCCGAGGTGGAAGAGAATGGCCAAGCTGAAGAGCAGGGCCACGATTAGGCACAGGAGCATGTGGGTTAACCAAGCTTTCCTCAGCAGACATATCTGTTGAAATTGGGTCAGAAAGGGTGGGCTCTCTATAAGGGGAAGGACTCAATGGGGGCAAAGAATCCAGAGAGAAAAAAGAGGATTGAGACAAAGACCTAGAATGCGATGAAGCAGAACTCAAATTGGGAGAACCCAAACGCTGGGCAACCGAATTGGAATGGGATTGGGAAGCAAAATACTGAGGATAGGGTGAAGAAGGTGAAATATTTGAATTAGGGTGTGAGGGTGGTATACCATAGGGTTTCTGATTCTCAGCCAGACCCATTTGACTAATAGGCACAGCATTATTCAATCGATTTGGGGGTCTGAGATTTGCTCCTGATGATGAACCAAATACGCAACCATTTCGATTCATATTACTTTGATCAGCACCTTCCATTGACTCAACAACCACTAACCCGTCTACTCAAAAATCACAACCTTCAACAATCAACACATAAACAAATAACCAAGGTTCAAAATCCAGACACACAGTTCACCTAGGCTAGTCTACTGAAAAAGTTAATAATAATTGAAGAAAGTTCTAACTGACACAGTACTTTGCGTACCTGGTCATATCTAGTACCAGATTAAAAAGTACAAACCCTATCTTGTAACCAGCACGGTGACAAGGACAAAAGTGAATTATATTACAAGCAGACTGTGTTGTGTGTGTGTTTTGTGCTACAGAAGCAGGAAAACTCCACGGTGGTGCGGAAAAGGTTTCTAGAGGAAGAACATGAGAGGCTGAAGTGTCGGAGGACGAAGATGACTATGTGGTTGTGTTGGGTTGTGTTGTGTGTTAGAAGGTAAACTTGTTTTTGTCCCTCTTTTCTCTTCTGGTCGTGAAATAAATGGCCTGCGCGTGTCAACTTCTCTCAGACGCGGATATTGTTTCTTTCCCTTCATTTCCGGATTGCGTTTTATTCTTAGACAAATTACAAATTTTATTACTTTTTAATTTTAATTATTTTTTTTAACATATTTCCAAAAAAAAAAAATACCGTGTATTTTTTTTGTAAATTCGAATTATAGAGACACTTTAGTAATACATGTATATCATAATATATAAAGATGTTTTTCTTTTTAGTTTTTAGACTTTAATAGTTTTGATTTCATTCTTAATTTTTTATATTTATTTAATTCAATTATTTTATAATGATATTTTAAATGACATACATTAGGTGTACATTCAATTAAATAAAAAAATAACACAAAAGTGAAAATTAGATAAAACTATAATTTTTATAATTAAAAATGAAAATAAAATACCCATAAAAAGTAAAAGAGGACAAGATTGTAGTTTAGTTTTTATTTAAATTTATTAGTAGATGAGGATGTTGTATAGAAGTATAGGTTATTATTTATTTGTTATCTGATTGATTCGAAATCTATACGTAATAGGAAATTCCCCGTTAGTCAACATGCTTTAACAACTTTACATCTTGGTTTGATGTAGACTCAACATACGCGTTTCCACACGTCAACATTTCTTGAGTTTTTGAATGAACGTTTGTAGTTTTTTTATGGAGTCTATTATTATAATTGAATTTTATTTTCAAATTAAGTGATTTGGCTTTGGATTTAAATAAAAATTTAAATGCAAATTACATTATTTCAAATTCAGATTTAAACTTCATGACTGTTTATTAGGGTTAAGAAATATTTCACTTGTTCATTTTTACATTAATTACTAATAGACATAAAAAAAAAAAAAAAGATAGAGATAAAAAAATTTAAGAACCTAACGTTGGGCCCAATTGTTCGTAAAACTATAGTATAATTCTGTTCTATTTGTGCTACGTCCCACCCCCTGGCCCAAAACAAAAAGCCCAATTCAAAATCAACATTACCAATGACTACAGTTTAGTTCATTTCAGTGTTAAGTTAACAGATAATAGATAAATAATAATATATAAATTTATAATTAATTAGCCCAATAAAATATTAATAGATTTACTTCTCCCATAATCAATTTCATAACTGTAAAATTAAACATAGAAATAAAAATATGTTACAGGAAGTAACCGATTACATTAATAAATAATATTAAAAACAACTAAAATTTGTACTTTGTATTTTATGGTCAAAATTAACAGTCAAGTAAACATGTATTTAATTAATGGGAGGACTTAAAATGTTGACTGAGTATGATTTTGAAATAGAAATACTACAAAATAGTAAATACAATTACAGTAGTTGCCAGTTACTTGTATTTATTAGTTCATAATGCAAAGTGGAAATTAATCTATAAGAGAAAAAATAATAACTTTTTTTATTCAATACTAAAGAAAATAATAAAAATAATTTTTATTATAATATTTATTTTCCACTCATACAGAAACTAATAAAAATTATAAAAATATGTTATTTTTAAAAATTTTCTGACTTATATAAATTATTATTTATTTTTATGTCTATGATTTATATATATATATATATATATATATATATATATATAATTTTAATAAAATACTATAAATATGAAAATATTATAAAATAAATTAAATAAAAAATTTATATATTTTTTATTTGTGTATAAATATGGTATTATTTTATTAATTTAATTAAAAAATTATAATGAAAATATGTTATAATTATATAACAAAATATATATATTGAAAAAATAAATATATAATCTAAAATTTTATTTGTTATTAAAAAAAATAATCATATAATTAATTTATAATTAAATAAATATTTGATTTTAATTTAATTATTTGTTATTTTTTAAATAAATATTTTTTTTCGTTTTCATGTTACTTTCTTCTTGAATATATAAAAAGACTTCTCATTTTTCATTCCCTCTTACTTTTTTTCTTTATTATGAAAGAGACTTTCATTAAAGAGTTTTCAACTAATATGTGAATGGATAATTTTGTATGATTTTGTCCTTTCAACTTTTTATTATTATTATTATTATTATTATTATTATTATTATTATTATTATTATTATTATTATTATATTTAAAAATTTGATCTTTTATCATATTATATTTTTTTATAATATATTATTTGACTTTTTATATTTACTTTTTTTCTTGATCTAATTTTCAATTAAATATATTTTTAAGTATCATATTTGTTTATAACATCTCGTGACGTATGATTTTTGTAATAATATTATCGTGCAAGAAAACTTCGTAAAGAAGTTTTCCTCATACACGATAAAATTTTTTATTTTATATGTTCGAAGGGGAGGAATGGTTGCAGCGAAAAATTCTTCCTCCCATATCACGTGTTCCTCATTCTTCTTCTACTTTTGTCTAAATTTCAAGCAACGATACTCTACTCCTGCAGGATCTGGTGAACACAGGAGAGAGTTTGAATTATGTGGGAAAGCTTCGGTAGAAACACCACACCAGGTAAGAGGAAGTTTAATTCATTCAATATATGAAATTTAATTGCTTCGGTACTCTCCGAATAAGGAATATGAGTAGAGATATGAATTATTTGAATGTTTGATTTTGAAGAATGTCTGATTCTGATGAACTGTTCACCGTTTGGAAGTTTTTGAAATACTTAAAATTAAGGATGAATTATATGATAAAATTGTTTTTTTCAACTTAAATTAGATATAATTCATGTTTAATTTGAAATTGGGACTAGTTTGGTTGTCTAAAACTGAGTAATTTGAAATTTGCCAAAATCTACAAAATTTGTTACTATTACTGGCGCGAGGAAGAAAAAAGGGACATGGAAGGAATTTTTGAAAATGTTCAAGGGTAAAATAGTCATTTTACATCCTAGGGACATAAATGGAATTTTAAAAAATGTCCAAGGGTAAAATAGTCATTTAGGGACATACATGGAATTTTCGGAAAAGATTAAGGGCAAAATAGTAATTTAATGATTTCAAAAAAGATTTTGGAAATGATTTCGAAAAATATATATATATATATATATATATATATATATATTTAAAATATAGAATAAATGTAGCAGTTTTAAAGATTTAGTAGTGTGTTGTGACGTGTGTAGGTCAGACTAAGTCTAAGGGTTGATGCCCATAATCAGTCATGAGATGTTATGTATTGGCTAGACTGAGCCGGAGGGTTGGTGTCCAGAATCAGTCACATACTATTGACTTGAATGAGCCGTGAGGACAGGGGGTCCAGAATCTGACAAATGTTAATGATTTTTTTTGTGTTTGAATGGTACCCGGGGTGGTACAAAGTACATTAGTATAATAATTATGTCGGAGGATTCTGAATGAGGTCCCAGACTTCACTGATTGGTCGGGTCAGGTAGACTACGAGATCAGGTGGTGAGAAGTCGATGGGGGGATGGTTGGTGGCGCGCTCGGAGGGGTACTCCAGTATGAGTGATGAAGTGTGCCAGTAATGCTACTCTGTGTGGAGGGTAGTGAGAATGGTACTGCGGGTGCCGATCACAATGTGCCCACAGATGATAGCCTTTGAGTTCGGGTATAGTTAGGGTATACTTCCGGAAGGTGTAATAGTATGTTGATGATTTCGTAATTGATCATAATATATAATTATTACTTCTATATCTGTTTTATTATATCGAATGATTGAATATTTACCCCTATTTTTCTATGTGGATGGGACTGTGATTATCACTTTTATGTCGGAGCAGATCAGGAGTTGAGAGATGGAGATGTGACTACTGGATAGCAGGGATAGTTCAGTGGGATAGTTTTGAGGGAGCTACTTTTACGTGTATAATATATAAATAAACTATGTTACTATATTTTGAGGTTACGTTAGTGAACCAGAATTTTAATCTATGTTACAATTATAGTAATATAATGTAAGATAGATGTCCTTATTTACTTGTTTACTATTGTACGAAGGTATCATTACAGTGGCGGATCTTGACCATTGATCTTGGGGGACCAAATAATATATTATTAATAAATAATAAATAAATATAAAAGGATGAAAGGGTGAAAAGATAAATTCTAGATATATATTAAATGATTATTAAGTTTGAGGGGAACAAAATCATAAATTATATAAGAGTTACAAAACCGAGGAGAGGCTGAGAGGATCAAATTATAAATATACAAGTAAACATATTAAATGTTCATTATGTTTGGGAGCCAAAATCATAAATTACATAGGAGTTACAAAACTTTGGGGTCTACTGCTTCCTCAGCTCCCAAGAAGATCGTCACTAATTATAGTAGTGATTTCTAGAGTCGTTACAATATCTCATATTTTAAGTTTTTTTTTTAATATCTCGTAATTTAAATGAGTTATTTTTTAATAATTTAAATGCAAGACTTAAACAATGTAAAAATATGCACAGTTTAATACAATATTTGGATCACTTTTTTGTTACTGTTTTATTTTTTTATTTGCTCTTACAAATTTTTATTTATTTAAGACCAAAATAACATTTGAATGCTAATTTAACTTTCATTAGTAATAAAAA